GGGACCCAGATCCAAAATGGGATTGCTCTAGCTGAAGAGGGCCACCAGCTGCTCTACCTGTGTAGAGAACACATGAAAGTGAATCCTTGCTCCCTTCCCTCACTAGCAGGATTATCAGTGTTTTTCCTTTGAAGTACTTTCTTTTCATTTTCCTCTGGGGGCTCTTTTAGTATTTTGGTGCCAAACAAAAATTTTTGTTGCCCATATCATTTTATTTGCAAATGTGTGAAATTGCTATAAAAGCTTCTAAACATTTACACTCAGTTTCTGTGTTTATCTCATTATTGTTAACCAGTAACAGATAGCACATATTCTGGCACATGCTCAGTACATAGTTCTCCATGGTCCTTTGCTTTGTACTACAAGAGGTGAGGTCCCTTTCATTTTTATTATCTTTGATCACATCCAAAGTTGGCTTTGGAGACTGTGAACTCTTTCCATGATTGAGCAGTTTGTTCACCTTGCTTCCTGATCCTACAAGGGTGGGGATGAAAGGATTGTTTTTGTTGTTGTTGTTTTTTTTTGTCCTCACCTGAGGACAGTTTTGCATTTATCTTGAGATAGAGTAGGAGGGAGAGAGAGTGGAAGAGAGAGAGACAGAAACATCCATGTGAGCGAGACACATCAACTGGTTGCCACCCCACACAACCCCAACCAGGGCCAGGGTCAAACTGCAACCGAAGTACATGCCCTTAGTGGGAACCAAACCCAGCCTCTCTGGTCCGAGGGCCGATGCTCTAACTGCTGAGCTAAACTGGCCAGGGCTGCTGTTGTTTTTTTTCTTACTCTTCACCCGCAGATATTTTTCCCTTTATCTTCAGATAGAGAGGGAGGGAGGGAGGAAGAGAGAGAGAGAAACATGGATATGAGAGAGGCACATTGATTGGTTGCTACCCACGACCCCAGCCAGGGCTGGGGAGGAACCGCAACTGAGTACATGCCCTTGACTGGAATCAAACCCGGAACTCTGCTCTGCCAGCTGGTGCTCTAACTGCTGAGCTAAACCAGCCAGGGCTGGATTGTTTTCAGTTTGGAACAGCTAGTCTCTTGGATGGTGGTTCTTCTTTGAGTACTTTCCTTTTAATACCTCATTACGCACAACCAACAGCAACTCTCACACAGTTCTCATCTTCTGTCACCTTAGCCTCTTCTTGTAGGGTATAATTAAGTCCATTAGCTACCTAGGTGCATGCTCATAAATTCATTAGGTATGTGCCATTTCCAAATTATTATAGGGGCAGTTTCATCAAATGTTTCATCAATCCTTAATGTGGATCATTTGCGGAGCTCCTGTCCCTGATAAGTTTCCTTGCAAAAACAGTTTCCTTGATTAGGCCTGGAACAGTTTCTTCGCTGCTTGGTCCCTGATCCAGTATTTTGGAGTTCTTATTAAGGCAGCATCTCATGTCTAATTTGTATACAAGTGAAGATAAATTAGATTGTTCTACAATAATAACTCAAACCTCAGTGGCTTTAAGACAACAAGGTTTATCTCCTCCTATGTCACATACTCATTGCATATTAGCTGTGGGTTCTCTTTTTTGTGCTCATCCTGGGGTGCATGCTGATGAACAGCCACCATTTGAGCATTTTTAATAATTGTGACAGAAGAAATAAAACCGGGTGTGTTATACGGTAGCTGTTAAAACTATTGCCTGAGCCCTGGCCGGTTTGGCTCAGTGGTTGGAGAGTCTGCTTATGGACCAATGAGTCTTGGGCTCAATTCCGGTCAAGGGCACGTACCTCTGTTGCGGTTGGTCCCCAGCCCTGGTCATGGTCGTGTGGTAGGCAATCAGTCAATGTTTTTCTCTCTCCCTGGCTCCCATTCTATCTGAAGATAAATAGAAAACAAACAAACAAACCTATTTCCTAAAAGACACATACCACTTCTGCTCATATTTTTTGGCCCAAATAAGTCACTAGAGGTGGGAAGTACAGGAAGATAGTAAGTGTAATCCTACCTTATTATACCTGGCAGGAAAACTGGAACTATTTACCTCTTGCTAATTAACTACCACACCAACATAACAAGGTCACATTTCTCCCAAGGTGTCCAACACTTTGTTCTGATTTTCTGGTTTTTGAAGTATTACAGTACTGCTTTCTATTCAGTTTTGTAAACTGGAGGAAAGAAGTCACCAAGTACTTTTCGTAGCTTTATTTTTACTCTGTTCTCCCTGGGTGTTCCCCTTCCCTACCACTTGCCATCCACACTTACCTTCTCTTTAGTTTAAAGATCTTTTTATGAGTAGACCACGTCCCTGGGCAAATGCATTTTACTCATGTGCAATGAACACTATTCTGTGGCCCCATGGCGCAGATTGGATTAACATGAGTAGAAGATATAGAAGATTTCATTACACACAATTTCTTTAAAAATCAGATTGAAAAAATACATAGTATAAAGAATGAGATGGTTCTATAGGGTTTCAAAAATCCCCTTGGTGTCTTCCCTTCTACAATTTCTTATTCTGTAAAGGAAATTACTTTCAACTTCTTTTGTCATTGATATTCCTAATTGCAGTAAACTAGGCTTTTGGTCTTGCGAAAGATGAATATTTGGCTCTCTTTTATCCCTTTCCTCATCTGACTGCATGGTCCCTTACTTTCTGTCTTTCGTCTTCTCAACTGTGGTTGTCACAGATTTGGTTATATCGTTATTCAGATTTATTTTATTATGACTATGTAAACTCTGTTTCTAACTGACCTGTGCAATATTCTCTGCTTTAAGTAGTTTCTTAAATAATCAAAGATAGAATAAACTGCAAGGTTCCTACTGAGTTCCTGTCTCTAAAATATGTAAGAATAATCACCAACATCACTAATTGACCAAATACACGGTACTTTGACATGTATAATCTCATTTGTCCAATGATAGATGTGGGAAAGTATTCAAGTCTTGAATGTGCAGTTAGAACTTTTGGTGCTACAAAATACATTCTAGGGGAAAAGAATCATATGTTAACCCTAATGTCCAATTTAGTGTTAAAATAATTGAATTGTAACCACAAAGACAGGAAAAATGATATTTTATACTTGAATCTTTCACTTGTGCTTTTACTTAAATATTTTACCTTTTACTTAGGTTGGAGTTATTTCATTAGTAACAAATTTTATATAGTTATTCCATTAGACTCAGGATGCATGCATTTCTCCCACCCCCAGAATATAAGGAAAATCTTGGATGATCTATTTTAAACCATTCCCATTAATATAAAGTGACTGTAAAATATGCTGGCTTAAAATGGCTATAATGTATAATCAATTTTAATGTCAAGGATATCCCTTAATTATATCATTAAAATTACTTTTTTTATATACTTTTCACAGTCCTTACTCCTCATTGTATTTGAGTTTTTGAACTCTTTGCTCGTTATTAAAAATTGATGGCACATTCATTCACTGTTTGATATAAATTAGCGCTAATGAAAAGAATATTAGGAAGTAATCATGAGTAATTAGCTCTATTTTTAGATATACCTACTCCTTTGGGAGAGGTGTTATATGCTTATAGATAATATTGAAAGACCAGAGTAGATATCTAATTTAATATAATTTTTCCTTACATTTTTTATTTTTTTTTATCATTATATTCTTTATTGAAAAATTCTACCCCTATCTTTATGGGTAATTTTTGCGCCCCATCTCCCCATCGCCTGTTTTAAGATAGTGATCTTTTGTTTGAAAAAAAAAAAATTAGCCCTGGCCGGTTTGGCTCAGCGGTTAGAGCGTTGGCCTGCGGTCCGGAGAGACCCGGGTTCGGTTCCCGCTAAGGGCACGTACTTTGGTTGCAGTTTGTCCCCGGTCCTGGTTGGTCGTGCGGGTGGCAGCCACTCGATGTGTCCCTTCACGTCGATGTTTCTCTCTCTCTCTCTCTCCCTCTCTCTCCCTCCCACTCTATCTGTACAAAAAATGGAGAAATGTCCTCGGGTGAGGATTAAAAAAAAAAAAGAAAAAAAAAATTAAAACAAAATTTTCACCTATACCTGCGGGGTATATGTTTACCTTCTAGAAGTATATTTTTATATCCTAAAAAGTTTTCTATCTTTCTTTTTTTAAACTTATAAGCAATACTTTTTTTTTTATTATTGACTCTATTACAGGTGCCCCCCGATCTTCCCCCACCAATTCCCCAACCTTTGCCTCCTTCCACCCTGCCCTGGGCCAGCCCCAGGCCTTCACCACATTATTGTCTATGTCCATTGGTTATATGTATATGCATATATATTCTTTGGTTGATCTTTTCCTGTTCCCCCCTAAACTATCTTCTTTTAAACTTAGATAATATAGATGATCAGTAGAAAAGCTTCCTGAAAGAAAAAATTGTTTAAGAGAAATTTAAAAGTAGCAAAACAGAAGAGAATCGAAAGCAGATACAGCGTGAAAGAAGTTGAGAGGAGAATATCTGGAACAACTCTGAGTTCAGAAAAGAGAATTGAGTTGAAAAGATATTTAAATTTCTAAGCTGTATAAATAAATCAAAGTCTTGAGCATTAAAAAATGTGTATTAAGAAGGAATGTTCTTAACTAGTAGTTTTAATAGCTGTCTTCTAGGGATTTAAAGTAAAAAGAATGTGAAGATAGTAGACATATATTTTGATGTCTCACTCCCATGTTAATGGTATTAAATAGCTGTGTGTTAACTGTAAATTCATTCTTGGTAGAGAAGGATAAAATGCCCAATTAAAAAAAAAAATGAATTGGATGTTTGAGAATAAATTTTAGAACTCTTAAAAATGCCAATTACAACAACAAAAAAAGACAGTCACTCCATTAACTACCTATTAAACTTAAGATACTTAGTATTGCATTTTCCTGGTATTTTTACAAGTATCAAAAACCACTAGCATTATCAAATCAATGTCATTATATATCATCCCCTTTCAAATTTTTACTAGCAGGAAATAATAAAGTACTGGAAAAATCAAATATGTAAATATAATACCTTATATTATTCTTTTTGCAGATTTTACTTTATTCATTTATTTAACAAATTCATTCAGCAAAACTTTGTTGAACACCTTCTCTTGCCAGATATTGTCCGAGCCAACAGAGCACAGCAGTGAACAAAACAGAACCTCCTGCTTATGTACAACTATAGTGGATGATGTCTTTTAGTTTCAATGTATTTAGCGTTGGCATCTCTTGTGTCATGATGTGTATTGTTTATAAGTCAGCAGTGAACTCTCTACCAGAACTGAGTCCTCAGAAATATTTCAGTACTTTACAAGCAGGAAAAGCCTCCTTAGCTTATTTTTGTCAAGCTGGTAAGTATTTTTTATATTCTGATTTTTGTGATGTTTCTATTGCTATTTAATCAATATGCTCAGTGGAAACTATTATTAGGATTAATAATATGTGCTACAAAGTTGCACTGTAATATACCTGTCTGGGTTTAAATCTTGAGTCTGCCACTTACTTGTTGTGTGACCTTGGTCAAGTCACTTAACCTCTCTCTCTCTTTTTTGTCATCCGTAATGAGGAAATAGTACTTGCTTTATAAATTTGTTGTGAGGATAAATGACTTTACTCATGTGACTAATCCATAGTAAATACTAGATAAAAATGAACTATTAATGTAATAACATCTGAATTTTATCTAGTAATTTCTGAAAGTATACTGTTTCATATTTTAGCATGTAAATATATATATATATATATTTTTAATCCTCACCCGAGGACATTTTTCCATTTTTTGTTCAGATAGAGTGGGAGGGAGAGAGAGAGAGAGAGAAACATTGATGTGAAGGGGACACATCTCGTGGCTGCCTCCCGCACGACCCCAGCCAGGGCCTGGGACAAACTGCACCTGAGGTACATGCCCTTAGTGGGAACCAAACTCGGGTCTCTCTGGACCGTGGGCCAAAGCTCTCACCGCTGAGCCAAATTGGCGAGGGTGCATGTAAATATTTTAAAAGTGTTTTTTAAACTTTAAATGTAGTATTAGTAATGCTTTAGTTTAATGTTTTGCTTTAGTTATACCATTAACTAAGCTAAATTAACTAATATAACTCTTAAACGTAACTAATAATTTAAGTCTTCACGCATAAAATATATTTTTGCAATTAATAAATGAAGTAAATCCCCTAAATTTCTGTTGGCACCTTATAATTATAATTTGAAAATGGTATTTTAAAATCATTTTGAAGATTTTGTGCATGTGTACATGTGTGTTTTGTATATGGTATTAAACTTGGTAAAATAATGCCAAATATTAGATTTAAATAAAACATTTATTTGCCCTGTTGTTTCAGAAATTTCATAAGGTCACTTACAAAGTTAAAATATGTTATTATAAAGACATTAGAAATAAGAATAAGGAGGCTTTGGAAATAAGGGTATAAAATATACTATAACTAGATATGTTTAGTTTCTGATTATTTGTTGTTGCATACTGGTTGGGCAATCTAATACATTTCTTAGTTTGCAGCTTGGGCTTTAATTTTAAGAATCTTTCCTAAGGAACAAATAATCAAACATTCATAAAACATGTCTTATTTTAGATTCTCCAAGTACCTCTGTATTTCTTGAAGAGCTGGATAAGGCTGTTAAACCTCTCCAGGACTATGGAATTTCAGTTGCAAAGGTAGAACGATATTTATGTTGATAAATTATTAGTGACAAACATTATACATCTGAATGACCTAAGACTGAATATCTAAGAATGCTTATGTTGTTTCACTTATTTTTACAAATTGGAAAAAAATTTTTTTATCTTTTTTTCATAAGAATAAACAAGCACAGAAGTTCCAGATTATTGTATAAATTAGTACATATAGAGGAAAAAAAGCTGTTCAAAACTCTTTAGCTTAGAATTTCATTTCATTTTGTGAATTATTCTACTGGGGCTGCGGTGTAATTTTTCAGTCCTATAGTTAGACTTTTATTTTGTTTTACCTGACAAATATACCATAATTCAATTGTTTATTAAATTTCTATTAGCACAAATGGTGGTACCAAAATTGAGGTACCTGAAGTATTTTTCTTTTCTATTCTAAGTTTTTATAATTGCTTATGTTGCAGTTTCTCATTTGTTTTTAGAAAAGTAAAAACAGCCTAACTTGAAATTATGTATTTAATTTTTTTCTCAAAAGATGTTTTCAAACTTGCCATGGAATATTATGGAATATTTCCACAAGCATCATGAATTAGATAGCTACATGAGCTTTTCATTTAGTTTAAACTTAGAATTTGTATCTGTAACCCAGGGATTATTAAATTCTTTCTGATTAGTGTCCACCTGACTTTCTGTTGTCAATGTAAGATAGGTCCAAACCCGTAAACAATTTTTGTAAGAATTTATTTGCACCAAATGGATGACAAACCCTGGGAGCAATATTTCAGATGCTCTGGAGAATAACAGTTTCTTTTATGCATTGAAATTGAGGAGGGACTTTAAGGAAGATTACATGGAAGTGGGAGAAAGCAAGGTTAGATTAGATTACAGAGTGGTTAATATTATGTGCTCTCAGCACTTTAAAAGGAGGGGTCTGAAAGGGTGGTCACATTAACACAAAGGTGTGTTAACCTTGATGCACAGAAACAAGAACTGGGCTTGCTTAAGGCCAAGATCAGCCTTTTACTCAAGTTATATGCCTGGGGTGTGACTGCCCATCATGACCTCCCCAGTTAGGAATTTATGATCAGTTCACCCTGGGAGGTTACTTTCCACAGAATTCCTTTTTCTTCTACATTGTGTAGATTTATTCTTTCCTAGTTCATTAGCCTTCCTTTTCTAAGAGATGGCTATTGTCCCCCTTGGTCTCTGCAGCTAGTTCCCAGGGCAGAAAGATTAACTAACCTTGGCTGTTAAAGGGATATTGTTCCCTCTTCCATAGAACACTTCTGACACCAAATGTGTGAGAGTCCGTCACCAAGCAATCTGACACTAACTTTTCAGAGTTAGCACAGACCCCACAGGTTAAGGATTCAGTCTTACAAAACTGCCTGTCACTTCAGATGCCAATCACAAGTAGTGTCTTCAGGTTACCTACAACTTCTGTAGGACTTGGCTACAAATTGGGTGTTCTCAACATCCCCTCCTGAGACTTGATAATTTGCTATAATGGCTCATAGTACTCAGGGAAACGCTTTACTTGCTATTGTTGGTTTATTATAAAGGCTGTCAGAGGAATAGCCAAATGGAAGAGATGCATAGGGCAAGGTCGGGAAGTCTTGAGTGCAGGACCTTCTGTCCTAGTGTACTTCGGAGTGTGTCATTCTCCCTGGACTCGGAAGGTGTTTACCAACCCAGAAGCTCTCTAAACTCTGTTATTTAGGGTTTTATGGAGGTTCCATTATGTAGGCATGACAGATTAAGTCATTGGCCATCAGTGGTTAATAATCTCCATCATGGAGGATGGGAGGTGGGGCTGAAAGTTCCATCCTTTTTATTTCTTTTTTTTAAATTAAATTTATTGGAGTAACACTAGTTAATAGGAGCGTATAGGTTTCAAGTGTACATTTCTATGATACATGATCTATATATTGCATAGTATGCCCACTACCCAAAGTCAAGTCATCTTCCATCACCATATATTTGGTCCCCTTTATCCTTGACTACCCTTCAACTCTCTTCCCTCTGGTAACCTCCAAACCGAAGTTCCAACCCTCTTAATGATGCCTCTGTCTTTCTGGCAACCGGCCCCTACCCAGAAGCTATCTAGAGGCCGCCAGCCACCAGTCATCTCATTCACTTAAAAAAAGACACTCCAGGGGTTTTAGAAGCTCTTATATCAGGAACTAGAGTTAAAGACCAAATATTAGAACAAAAATACTCCTAGCATTCCTATCACTTAGAAAATTCCAAGGGTTTTAGGAATTCTGTGTCAGGAACTAGGGGCAGAAACCAAATATGTATTTCTTATGTCATGACTATATACCTTAAAAAAATATTCAATTCTGTTTGTATAGAGGTCTCCATTAACTTTGAACAACTGATTGCACTCTAGAATGACACTTATCTATGAGGAGCTATGAATAACAGTTTAAACTGAAATTGAGAAATGAAATAATAGGCTGGCATGACACTCAAAAAGGATAATCATCCTGTTTTCCTAGTAACTAGTAAACTAGTAACTGTATCTAGTAACTGGAGTAGAATATTGAGGTTCATGCCCAGGGGTGCCTTTATAAACTAACATAACTTAAAGTTGATTTTATAGTTGAAGATGCCGAGCTACATGGAAGGGACACTGTGGTGAATAAGACAGACCTATATTGAGTACCTAGCTCAATCCATGGAACATAATAGATATTCAGTAAATGTTTAAGATTAAAATTAGCTCAGTATGCCCCCACCGGTGTGGCTTAGTGGATTGAGGATTGTCCCACATAGGATTGAGTGTGGTCCCATGGACTGAGGGGTCCTGGTTGGATTCCTGGTGAGGGATATGCCTGGGTTGCAGGCTTGATCCCTAGTAGGGGGCGTGTTGGGGAGCTGATCCATGTTTCTCACATCTATGTTTTTCTCTCTCCCTTCCTCTTTCTCTTAAAAAATATTAGCTCACTATATTTACTCTATTGGATTAGAAAGATGACTAAGACTTAGTCTATTTCTTTGGATACTTTATATCCTAAACAGAGAGGATAAAACACATTCACAAATCATTTCAATAACTAGCAGAACCCAATTATAATAAGAGAGATACAAATAAAGTACTATAGGGATTAAAAGGAAAGAGAGCTCATATCTGATTGTTGGAATGGAAGGTTACCTATGGTATTGGGAAAGACTTCACAAAAAGTAGCATTTTTAGATTGTCTTCAAAAGCTAAGATTTCAGGAAGAGGAGTTAGATGAAGAAAACACTAATATCAATGGATTAAATGTTCCAATTAAGACAAAGATCATAAAGCTGGGTATAATAACCAAACCCAACTATATGACATTTATTTAATTTTTAATCCTCAACTGAGGATATTTTTCCATTATTTTTTTTTAGATAGAGAAGGAGGGAGGGGGAGAGAGAGAGAGAAAGAGAGAGAAACAGAAACATCGATGTGAGAGAGACACAGCAATTGGTTGCCTCCTGCATGACCCCAACTGGGGCCTGGGATCAAACCTGAAACCAAGGTATGTGGCCTTGACTGGGAATCGAACCCATGACTTCTGGTCCGAGAGCCGACTCTAACTGCTGAGCCAAACTGGCCACAGCTATGTGCCATTTAGAAATGCATCTTATGGAAGTTCAATTTTTAATTTTTTGAGGTAACACCATATTGTTTTCCATAGTGGCTGCACCAGTCTGCATCCCACCAGCAGTGTACTAGAGTCCCCTTTTCTCCACACCCTCGCCAGCACTTGTTGTTTGATGATTTGTTGATGGCGGCCATTCTGACAGGTGTGAGGTGATACCTCATTGTCGTTTTAATTTGCATCTCTCTGATGATTAGTGATGATGAGCATTTCTTCATATGTTTCTTAGCCATTTGTATGTCCTGTTTGGAGAGGTGTCTATTTAGTTCCTCTGCCCATTTTTTTTTGTTTGTTTTTTCTTAATCCTCACCCGAGGATATTTTTTCCATTTTTTGTACAGATAGAGTGGGAGGGAGAGAGAGGAAGGGAGAGAGAGTGAGAAACATCGACGTGAAGGGACACATCGAGTGGCTGCCACCCGTACGACCAACCAGGGCCGGGGACAAACTGCAACCGAAGTATGTGCCCTTAGCGGGAACCGAATCCCGGTCTCTCCGGACCGCAGGCTGACGCTCTAACCGCTGAGCCAAACTGGCCAGGGCCCTCTGCCCATTTTTTAATTGGATTCTTTGTCTTCCTTTTGTGGAGTTGTATGAGTACTCTATATGTATTGGAAATTAACCCCTTATCTGATATATCATTGGCAATTATGCTCTCCCACACAGTGGGTAGCCTTTCCATTTTGATGATTGTATGTTTCGCTGTGCAGAAGCTTTTGAGTTTGATGTAGTCCCATGTGTTCATTTTCTCCTTTGTTTCTATTGCCTTAGGTGATGTGTCAGTAAAAATTCTACTGCATATGATTGATGTCTGAAATTTTGTTGCCTACAGTCTCTTCTAGGATTTTTATGGATTCATGAGTTACATTTAAGTCTTTTATCCATTTTGAGTTTATTCTCGTGTAGGGTGTAAGTTGATGGTCTAGTTTCATTTTTCTCCAAGTAGCTGTCCAATTTTCCCAGCACCATTTATTAAAGAGGCTGTCCTAACTCCACTGTATGCTCTTGCCACCTTTGTCAAATATTAATTGAGCATATTGCCTTGGGTCCCACTTCTAGGAATATACCCTAAGAAGTCTAAAACACCAATCAGAAAGAATATATGTACCCCCATGTTTGTAGCAGCACTATTTACAATAGCTAAGATCTGGAAACAGCCCAAGTGTCCATCAGTAGACAATGGATAAAAAAGCTGTGGTACATATACACAATGGAATGCTATGCAGCTGTAAGAAAGAAAGACCTCTTATCCTTTGAGACTACATGGAGGGACCTGGAAAGTATCATCGTAAGTGAAACAAGCCAAACAGAGAAAGACAAGTTTCATATGATCTCACTTATTTGTGGAATATAATGAACATAACAGTCTGAGGAAGGGGGTAGTCCCAGAGATGCGGAAGTGGGATACAGACTGACAATCCCCTAAATAGGGGGGTGGTGGGGAAGGGATAAACCACAGAACTTATATGCATGAACAGTGGACATGGACAACAAACTGGGGAAAGGGCAGGGAGGGCAGGGGAGGGGGGAATCAGTGGGGGGAAAAGGAGAAACATCTGTAACAAAAATTAATTAATAATAATAAAAAAAAAAACGTAAAAGAAATGCATCTTAAAATAAAGGCTTCAGAAATCTCCAAAGTAAATGAAGGAAAAAGTCATATCATGCAAGTGGTAACATAAAGAAAGCTGGTAATGGCTATATTACTAAAGCAATGTAGATTTTAAAACAAAAAACTTTTGAGTTATCCTTGTCTTGTCATGTAGGTTCTACTATCAAAACTTTCCAAATCTGACCACTGCTTATACTTTTACTCCTCCCTTGTCCAAACCATCATCATTTCTCATCTGGGAAACCACAATTGCCTTCTAACAATTGGTCTTTCTTCTTTCACATTTGTCTCACTAAACTTTTCTCCACATGTAAGTGAGATGTGTCAGATTACATTGCTACCTGCTCAGAAAGGCTTCCCATTACAGTTATAAAATCTCGTGGACTCTGGCTTCCTCTCTCATCAGATTTTCTGTTCCTCTACCTTGTTCCGTTTGTTCTTGGCACATACCGGTCATCTTTCTGTTATTTGAATCTGCCAGATGTGTTATTTCCGCAAGGCTTTTGCAGGTATTTTCCCACTCTGCTTAGAACTCATGCCTTCTACATATGTATACATTTTTATGTTTCACTCCATTATTTCAGTTCTTTGTGCAAATGTCACCCCCTCAGAGAAACCTTCCTTGATTCCTAAAATGTCCCATCACACACTTAATATTTTTTATAGCACTTAACATTACATATTACTTAATTTTTTAAATTGTCTGTATCTACTTTTAGAATGTAAGTTCTAGAGATAGAGATTTTTGTAACTGTACCCCCAGTGATTAGAACAGTGACTAACATATGGTAGGTGTTCAAATATATATTGAATGGATGAATGGACAAATCTATTGTTATAATAATAGCCACCCCCTATGCTCTGACTTTTAAACATTCTTTTAAAATTACTTGCACTGAAATTTACTCTTTTTGCTTATGGCTATACTCTGACTTTTAATTCTTTATTCCTGATATCTTTTCTGAGTATCAGTTCTCCTTTTGTAGCTTTTTTTTTTTGAACAAATATAACTTCCCTAATTGTTATTCTGATTTCTCAGACTCTCTTAAAATTAAATTTAACAACAACCACCACAAAAAACTCATCTTAAAAAAACCCAAGACTAACAAAATAAAAAATAAAGCAACTCTTCTTCTAGAATTAGTTTTGGTAAGTTATGTTGGTGGCTACCTGTTTGCCCCATCTAGTAACCCCTTCATTCTCTTTATCTCCTTCTTCCTTCCCCATCTCTGTCTCATTGTGCATATAAATGCTCAGTTTTCTCCCTGGTTTTACTTACTGTATTTGTTTTTTCCTTTTTTCTGTTTTTTGTTGTTGTTGTTGTTGTTGTTTATTGATTTTAGAGAGAGAGGTAAGGAGAAGGAGAGATAGAAACATACATGAGAGAGAACATCTATTGGCTGCCTCCTGCATGCTCCCTACTGGGGATTTGACCCACAACCTGGGCATGTGTCATACTGGGCATCGAACCGCGATCTCTTGGTGCATGGGTCGACATTCAACCACTGAGCCACACTGGCTGGATTTGTGAAAAGTGTCTTGAATCATTTCTGTTTTACTTCAAGTCCCAATCATCCTTGACCAAATTTTTTTACCTGCCTCCTTATCTTTGTGCTCTAAATATCTTTCATTTTATCTTTATGTTGCTACCAGGATTATTCTTATATTTTTCACATAGAGTCCTGATTGTAAGCCTGTTGTGGCTGCTCTGACATTATCAGAGACTTAGGTTCATTCTTTCTGATGCACCATCCTTAGCAAGGGTTTCTTCTCTAAAGATGACTCATGGTCCCTGGTTACTACTGGTGTCTAGCTATCTTGTTTGTGTTTTCTCAGGAAGATGTAGGAAGAGCAAGAACACCATTCAACCTCCTTGTAAGAGCCTTCTAACACTGTTGAGCTATCCTTAGCAATTGGGAGTCTGGAAAAGTCTTTTAATGGGGGATTTGCTTTTAGTCAAGTTCTATTAGTAAAACAAAAGCAGGGGATGGATTTTGGGTAAGAAACCACCAGTATCTTCTATACCTGTGTGCTGGCTGCTAAGATACTTTTATAGTCCCAACTTACCACTCACTGCTGTGCTTCCTGGCTTTTGCTCATGAGTTTTTGTTCTGCTTTCATTGTTTCCTTCCTTTTCTACCTGGTTACTTCTACTTGCTCCATAAGATTGAATTAACTGTAAACTCTTAAGTATAATTAAACATTACTTTTAGGTGTAGAAAAGGTTTCTTTTTCTGGGTTACCTCAAGTATTTGAATAAGTGAACAATTATGGAATACAAATCAGAAGGAAAAGTAAAATAAAAAATATGATATGGAGATAAAGTGTAATGTTTAATTTTTTTTCTTGTTTCCTTAAGCAAGAAACTTTACCTTTTGATATACTCTAAACCTTAAATGTAATCTTTTTTTTTTAAATGTAATCTTTTAAAGGTTAATTGTGCCAAAGAAGAAACGTCAAGATACTGTGGAAAAGAAAAGGATTTAATGAAAGCATATTTATTCAGGTAAACTATTATACTAGAATATTCAAGTGTATAAAATATTGCTAATTCAGAATAAAGTTGTATGCAGTGGGGGTCATATGAAGCTTAGCAAAAAGTTCAAGTAATAATTGGTTACTTGCACTTTAATTTCCTTATCTATACAATGAGAATAATACCTCACAGGGTTGTTTTAAATATTACATGAGAATCTTATATAAACTCCTATTAAAAATGCCTGGTAAGCAAGCACTTAGAAAATTTAGTGTTTTAAGTAGATATGTCAGGTCATATTCCGGTGCAGAATAAACATACATACTTAATTTTTGAGGGATCTGCCAATGTCCAGGGTACAGACTTATCTGCACTTTGGTCTGCTAATCTATCTGAGGTTTCTCAAAACTTTTTTCCTCAAACCCTTGGGATTTGGCCTAGGAAATGGAGAGATTCTGTCTCTTCAGGGACCTTCTGCTTCTTTCTCCTACTTGTCTCCTTCTCGGCCCAATTTGGGGAATTTGTGTATATGTGACAGGGAGGTTGGTAAGAAGCCCTGTTTGGACTTATGTTTGTTTTTTGTTTTTTTCCCCTCAGTCTTTTTGCTAAGCCCAGGGCCTAAGCTTTTCAAAGTTGACATAGATATTGAGTGATTATTAAAAAATATTTGAGTGTATGTTATGGTAGGTATATGGGATAATAGATAAGACACATAGGCTCTAATGTTAAAGACTTTACAGCTTGGTATATTAGAGAAACAAGTAAATTGGATGCTAAGAAAATATTTCTGTAATGCTTTTTCAAACTTTTTATAGGGGCAACATATTACTCAGAGAATTCCCTACTGATACCTTGTTTGATGAGAATGCCATCATTGCTCATGTTCTCTTGTAAGTACAGGGGTTACCCATTCACTCCTTCACTTATTAGTTATCTAGTGATTTCATTTTATTTTTATTTATTTTTTTATCTTCAACCGAGGACATTTTTTTTTTACATTCATCTTCAGATAGAATGGGAAGGAGATAGGGGTGAAGAGAGAGAGAAACATCGATGTGAGAGAGACACGTCAATTGGCTGCCACTCACATGACGCCAACTGGGGCCAGGGACAAACTAACTGCAACAGAGGTACACACCCTTAGCGGGAACCGAACCCCGGACTCTCTGGTCCATGGGCTGATGCTCTAATTGCTGAGCCAAACCGGCCAGGGCTCTAGTGATTTCATTTTAGACAACCACATCCATTAACATATTTTAGAATTTTAACATTATATTTGTAGGCATCAATTTTATATAAACTGCTGGTCTATCTTTTCACATAGAGGATCTAACATTTCTTAAATGGCAAACAATACAGAAACATGTAAATACTCTTTATAAAAATAGGAGATGATAGAACATGACCACATGGGTCATACTATTGCTTTTGCTTTTGATTCTACCTGTGGAATGAGGATTTTACCAGGTAACAAGCTCATGTTTGTTATTCTCAGTAGGATTTTTAAAGTATCTAGAATCCTTTTCACCCAGCTTGATTTTTTCCGGAGTCTAGCTCTGTGTCCGCTTAGTAAGTGCAGAAAGAGTTCACACAATCTGAGCACATACCTGAATGTTGGTTGAGAAGAGTAAGTGAACTTAATTTAACTTCCCTGGCATGGAGTCTTTAGGCCTGGGATGCAGGCCTACAGTTTGCCTCTCAATGAAGTCTTGTATTTTCTTTGATGACAAAGCTAGAAACTGGGACTTGTTACAGACATGAGTTTACATGAACTTACCCAATTTAGCATTGCTGTAGGCCCGTTACCAGCTAAGACCTTTGCTGACATTGGCTATCTGTGTCTTCTGCTTGGTTCCCCTCTTCCTTCTCTTCACTGACTGGACTCCCAGAACATTTGGGTAAAAATTATATTACAGGAAACTTAAAACATATAGGTGAAAAGTTGTGTTTCTCACTTTGCAAATGGATACTTTTAAATGTTCCAGTACTATAATATATTAACAAAAGGTCTTTTTTTTTTTTTATCCTCACCTGAGGACATTTTTCTATTTTTTGTTCAGGTAGAGTGGGAGGGAGGGAGAGGAACAGAGAGAGAGAGAGAAACATCAATATGAAAGGAACACATCGAGTGGCTGCCACCCACACGACTGACCAGGGCCGGGGACAAACTGCAACCGAGGTACATGCCCTTAGCGGGAACCAAACCCGGGTCTCTCTGGACCGCAGGCTGACGCTCTAACCACTGAGCCAAACCAGCCAGGGCTATTAACGAAAGGTCTTTAGAAAGGATCCTGACAACCCAGGTTCTTGAGGCCTATAGACTAAGAAGCCAATTATAAGGAATGAAAGATGGCCTTTTGAAGAAGGAATTCCAAACAGCTGGGAGGCTTCCTTAGTAGCCCTTCCCTGGGATAGAGGGGTGGCTATCCTGGGAGTAGGGGTGGGGTGCAGATCATAAAAAGCTTAGCAAAACATCCAAGTAATAGATATATTTGTTTTACAATGGTTACCTGATGACTATCTTTGACCCAGAAATCAGGGTGAAGAATCAAAGAAGATTCTTTGAGTTATGGGGAAAGGGTGACTAAGATTGTCTTTGATAAGTTTGATAGCAAATGCTATAGCAGTAGGTCCACCTTGGACAACCTGATGGCAAGGTGGTTTTGGAACAGTTGGACCTTAGATGTGGAGTGGCTGTCAGTGCTGAGGACCCTGTGGGACTTGTGTCATGCAGTACTGCTGTGGTGATCCTGTCCTGTTCCTTGTGCTGTGCTAATGCTGATGTATAGAACGCTACAGCGATTCTACAGCGATTATTCTCCGTGTTCCTCCCATGTGCTGGATAACTGTTAGGCACTGGGAATTCAGAGCAGAATAGGGTGTGTCTTCTCTAGGAGTTTAGCGTTTTGAAAGGTGGCTATCCTCACTACTATACCACCAACGCCAACGAGTTGAGCGTTTTGTTGCAGACACAGATATATAAACAGAAAATACTATGTCGTAAGTAAAATAGAAGTATGTGTGCATAAGGCTAAGAGATCCACAGGGTAGGGAATAGTTACTATTGTCTAGAATGAGGGTGGATATTTACTAAGAATTTTTCCTGAAGGAGGTAGCACTGGGGATGAGTCTTAAAGCAGAAGTAGGAGTTTGCTTGGTGAAGAAATGGAAGGTGGTGAAAGCTGTCAGAACTGTGTGAGCAGGCATGGAGGTCAGAATAGTTTGGAGATGGTAGTTTTTATTGGAGTATCAAATGTGAAGCAGGAGATGAGGGCAGAGAAGTAGGCATGGGTCAGATGAAGGGATCTTTGTGTACCACATAAAGAGGTTTAGGATTTTGGGTAGCCATAGAAGGGTGAGATGTTCAGTTCCATGTCAGAATCCTTGTGTCATCTTTCAGGCCCAACCACTGACAATTACGAGGCTTTGCCTGGCAGGCCTCATAGAGGGAAGGTGCCTCGTCCACACCAGACTTGGTACACAGCCAGTGCATTGCAGTTTTCTAGAGAAAATTGAGGTCAAGGACTCAGGTCCCTCCTCTCTCCCAATCCCTTAGGCCAAACACACTCCTCTGTACACCTGCATTTCTAGCCCAGTTGTCTCCATTTGAGGCTTCATTATCAGGGACCTTGGCTGAGGCACCTCCCAGGTACTTCTGATAAGACCCCCTTATCTCTACTTTGATTTAGTCCCTTTCCACTCCGAGCCCTTCCCTCTTTCCTTCACCCCAGCCCACCAGTCCATAAAAAGGCAGGAGCCTTCTCTTTGGTGCTCTGTGGAATGTGATGATACCTTGCATCTATGGTTTGTGCAGCTGACCCTCACCTGGGGCTGTTCCATGGCAGGGAAGGGAATGAAACATTCTGGAGCAGGTGCCTCTCTTTGTGTCTTGCTTGCACTGTTGCAGTAAGTGAATAAGGCTGAATTGTTACTTTTAGTTTGGCTAGCTGTCCTAATTGACCAGTGCAACACCTGAATACTCAACAGAGGGTTGCAGGAAGGCAAGTGATGGGATTAAATTAGTGCTGGAGAGCTCTTTCTGGTGGATGTGACAGTTCTGTGGGGTCCAAGAACATGGAGAAACCATTGTGTGGCCTTTGTACAATATAGGGGATTTTCTTTTTAATGCTTTGGAGGTGAAATTAACTGGACTTCGTGATAGTTAATTTGGTAATAATCAGCAAAACTACAAATTTGAGTTAATCCCTGATCTCTTTCTCTCTCCTTTTTTTTTTTTTTCCCCTCACCCTACTCAAAATCTAACCTGATCACCATTTGAGGTCATGCAAGGAAGAAGAGCAAATTTACAGAAGATAATCTAATTTTACAAGTCAAATGCCCATCATACCTGGGCATTTGTAAACAGCTTAGGAACTTGAGCCTCTGGGGAGTACAGATCTAAGTGTTGTTAACATATAGGTCATCCAGGGAGGGTTCTAGGACAACACCAACACTTAAGCAGGAAGGTGTGTGTGTGTGGGGGGATTCCAAAGAGGAAATATTCTCATTTTTGTTTAAAACATAAGAAAAAATAACTTGATGATATACAGTATTTAAAATTTTTTTTCAGTAATATTTGGAATATTGAAGAACTGTGCTTAATAGTGTACTAAGTTGCTTTTCTCCTTTGTCGAAGATCAGACTCTAATTGTGTGGGTGTATTTCTTTTAGTGTTTTTATGGTTTCAATTTTACATTTAAATCTTTGATCTGTTTAGAATTTGGCTACATAGTTGTCCCAACACAACTGAGATTAATGAATTTTTTCACTATTTAAGATGCTATTTAAAAAAAACTTTTTTTTATTTATTTATTGATTTTAGAGAGAGAGGAAGGGAGAGGGAGAGAGAAGTGGAAACATTGATGAGAGAGAACATCGATTGGCTGCCTCCTGCATGTCCCACACTGGGGATCAGGCCCACAACCTGGGCATGTGTCCTGACTGGGAATCGAACCGGTGACCGCTTGGTGCATGGGTCTTCCAACAGTTGTTTTTATGTAACTATAGATATATAACATATTTATATGTATGTGTACTATATACATATATATAAAAGATATTGATTTCTGTCTATTAAGTTTGTGTCCTTTGACCTTACTGAATTTATATTACTTAAAACAAGACTAGAAAAGCAAACTAGTTAGCTTGTAGTAATAATATTCATATTGTAGAATGTATGAGAAATACAGAAAGCCATGAAAATCTCCCCTGAAATTCTTTATAATTTTATTACCCAGAGCTATTAAATAGTTATTATTTTTGGTTTACATCCTTGTTTTTTCCTAAAACACTGTTATCTGACATTAAATGTATACATAAGAACTATATGTATACATCATGTTATATAATGTGTAGTTATATATAAAATTTTTGTTTATTAGTCAATAGTTAAACAGGGAAGCCAAAATTTACTGGCATTTCCTCTATTTCTAAAATAGATGAAGATATATATTAAAATATATTAATTTCAACTAACTTATCAGTTATTTTTTTAACGTAAACTCACTACTTAACCCTGATAATCAAGGAGAAAAAATATTTGAAGATAATACTTGAATTGTGTTTATATTTTTGAAAACATTTGTATATGAAATGAAAGCTTACATGTAGAATATTTATATTGCTTTACTTGGCTTGCCTTTTAAAAATGTGTAACCCATGCTGTCACATTTTCACAAAGCATTTAAATTTGTTCTTTATGTAGAATGCTTTGACGAGACCAGTGATCCACAATTATACTTGAAATTTGCTTCTTTGTCAATAGGAAAGATCAAGGCTTAAGATAATTTCTTATTCTCAGAATATAGAAAAATGCAATTGGGAAAAAATTAGTAAACTCTGATAACAGAATAATAAGTATAAACTTAGGATAATCTTTATACTAAATTTT